CCCCAAAACCCCAAAACCCCAAAACCCCAAAACCCCTGCCCAGTTACAATAAATGGAAGATTATTAAATTATGTGAAATCTATGCTTCGAGGAGTTGGTTTGTCAACGAATTCCTCCTCTGCTTCCTTGTGCTGTAGAGGAAGTGGGATTGAGTGAAAGCAGCAACAATGATGATTACAATCATAGAGTAAAATCCAAAGGATAAGCTTTCAAAAATATTGCCTATTAAGACAATGCATGTAAAGGTGAGGAAGATAGATGTTAATCCGAGCCAATTGAGTCTATCAATATTCCTAAAGAGTTAGAATTAGCTTATACTGTACCTTCTTGGAAGTACAAGACTTGCAATGTACACCAGGAATACGAGGAAGGTCCCGAAATTATAAACTCCTGCTGCAATTGACACAAACTTGTAATCTCCAGATTCTCAAAATTCTCCAGGGAAAATATGAGGTTGACAGTAATAGATCTCAGCAACAAAATGCCATGAGCCATCAAGAGAGAAAAAGATAGGGCCAAAGTTATATTTGTAAGTATGTCCAGCTTTGAGGTCAACATATCTCAGCTTGAGGAAGGAAGTGAATAGAGATATCACAACAATGGACAGTATTAGGAAAACTCTGAGCGCGTAATTTAATCTGAGATGATTTCTCTATATTAGTGAGCCAATTGTAATTAAGAGTACTTACCCAAATACGAGTATTCACATGAAACATATAACTAGGCTTAACTGTATCAGAGCTGCGGCTATACTCCTCAGATTGATACATCTCAGGTTGATTATATTTAGCAGCAGTAGGACTGGATCCTCTCACAGCTTCGTTATATGAGTCATCCTCATCTAGACCAAAGTTAACCCAATAATAATAAAATGATGGAAATATTATTCTTCTGGAACTTGAAAGGACTCCTGAAGAAGGATTGAATTATCAACAAGAACAAAACCAGTGAATTACCTGATTCTCCAAACAGATTTTCTCTGACTATTTGGCCTTCATTGTGGTACTCATACTCAAAATCACTCCTGTTGAATATGTGATGTTTCAGATTGCGTGGATTATAATCTATAACGATCAAAATAGAATATATTACTTGAACTTCCCTTTGCTAACGTAGACTTTTCCATTGAAGAGAGGGAAGCCTCGTTAAATTCCGTGCTCCTGCTAAATTTGCTGTGCTTGCTGTTTAGTCTATTCTTCCTATAATTCAATATTTCTCAGAAAAGTTTTAGAAGTTTGAGTTTTAGGTGTAAATAAATAATAAAAAACTTTTACTCAGAAGTTAATTGTTCATTGCATTCTTCTCAGTTATATTAAAGAAAGAGGATGAAAGGAGGTCAAAAATTTCTAACCTATCCAAATTAACATTAAAATCCGAAGCATTTTCTCAATCCATCAGTTACATCCAACACCACTCCCAAACTTAATCCTCCCCTTCTTCCAATCTTACCTTTCTGCCATTTTTAAATAAAATTATAACCTCTTCCTCTAAATGGCTCATTATCCCCCTCGGGGTTTTGGGGTTTTGGGGTTTTGGGGTTTTGGGG